GTATATATATATATATATATATATATATATATATATATATATATTTTCAGTGTCTTTATTTATGATGATTATATAATAATAACCAAATATAGTTTCTCTTTATTTTCATTTTATAAGACAATTAAGAAATAAAACATTATAATATGCCAATTATGAATCCAAAAACAGCTTGAAATCTAATCAAGTTTGGTTTCAATTGTATAAATAAATAAAGGCGATTCATAAAAATGTAGGCTTACACTAAGATATTTTCATACGAAGAAATACATAGATTAAGCATAATCGAAATATTTTACTTATTAGCTGGATAAATAAATACTCTCGCTCTATATTTGTAACTGATATTTTAAAATTTATAGATTTTAAATGATGGGCAAGTTATTCCAAACATTGCAAATTGGCCAGTGTACATTGTACATACAAATTAGTACCATACTAGAATCTAGAGTCTTGTATTTTTACAATGAACTAAGGTTTCAAAATAATTATTTAAATTATGTGGAGAATAACAATGGTATAAATCAAAAACGAATATTTTTACTTTAAATAAGAGACTAGTTGAGCAGTAAGGGAGATGATGGTTCTCTAATCCCAGAAAATGTTAATCAAAGCCTACATATCTTCTGGGAAATTAAAATAGGGTGTAAGTTTGTAAAAAAGTTATTACCCCAGAATTCTAAAACATTATGTTTAAATTGGGTTATATAAATGTTTTATACAATAAAATTAAAATAAACATGTTTTTAATGATTCCTTGCAAATGATGATAAAAATGAAGTGAAGGTTTACTTAGTAATTGATACATTATTTAGTATAAGTGCCCTGTAACATACAAAAGATGATGTTACACTCTGTTACTCAATAGGGAGCTTTTGATTGCATGACATGGTAGAATCTAGAATGTAATGACGTCACTGATATTTCATCTGTGCATGCGAGAATGTCAAGTTTTTGTTGTGTGAATTCTAGGACATAGTTTGACCAAATCAACGTTATGCAGATAACGTAGGGCGGTCATGCATGAGTGACCCCGTTCTAGAGTCGCGTCGGTGCGCAAATCGAAATCTCCCTATTATTAAGTTGCTGCAAAATAGATTTCCGAGCTACAGAATGTATTTTTAAACTGTTTTTTTTATTTGTTACTATGATACGTTTACTTCAGATGTTTATAATTTCTTTAAATATATTTTTAACTTTACTCATAAGAACAAATGTCGACATCTCCCAGAGTTTTATAGGCATTCACAAACTGAATTAGCACCTGTGATTTGCTGGTTTTGTTGCATGTATATCAGCCAGTAACCGTTTAAATTTGACTTTACGATATCGTGGATTGTGATTGGTGGAAGCCAAACAACTTTTATGAATTGCCTAAGAATCATGGCTTGTGATTGATTGAAGCCAAACAACTTTAATCATTTGTCTAGAAATCATGGCTTGTGATTGGTTGTAGCCAAACAACTTTAATCAGTTGCCTAGAAATCATGGCTTGTGATTGGTTGGAGCCAAACAACTTTAATCGCGTTGTCTAGGAATCGTGGCCTGCGATTGGTTGAAGCATGCCAAACAACTTCAACAAAGTAGAGTAGAGTTTTAATAGGGAGGTTTTGCAAGCTTACGATAACGATGACGATATACTGTTACGTCATTGAATTTTTAGTCAAACCATCCCCTAACATAGCATATTCTTCACAACGAGGCCATCCCTGCCTTTTATATAAATCAGCGATCATATAATATATGATCGCTGATATATTATATTCAGCTCGTGTATGTATTGTCAATAATATTTAAGGCAAGAATGACGATAATGAAAGTGACGTTGGTTATTGGTTATCGTTTTCGTAAGCTTGCAAAACCTCCCTAATAACTAAATGAATAAACCTATTACAGTAATAGATAAGGGGGCACAGTACATAGCTTATATCATACTATATAATATTTTTGAATTTAGATACCATGGTAATTGATGGTACAGTAGAAATATAAACGGAAGCTATGCGAATGTTCCTATGCATTGTATATTATGATAAAATAATGATTAAGTACAATTAATACAATCTATTTAGTAGTTGATACACATTTTATACGAATAATTAATTTTTGGGGAAATGATGATAGATTTTGAAATTAATAAAATATTTATTTTCAGTACATACAATGTCTATTGCATCATTTTGAGTAGAATTTATCATTAAAATATTCATTAGCAAAATAGACATTAAAAGTGTTCTTAGTCGGCATATTAATAATATGGAAACATTTAAAAGAATACAAAATTACTAAACCATGGAGATCCTTTAGATCCGAAATTCAAGTTACGATAGCTCATTGTCTTTCGGATGAGGCATTTAAGCTGTTGATAAAACTACAAATCGAATTATTTATAATAAATATCAGTCCCATCTGTTTGATGGTCGTTTTTGCACTGAAACTTTCAAAAACGTTCCTTTCGAGTCGCAGCGTACTTCGATTAAGGTAATTAAATCCTGAATAATTTAGTATCTCTTCATTGTTAAACGATTAACACTGCATTTTGATAGCAACCATAAAAAACATTTAATCGATGACACAAGTAGCAACAAAAATCGTAGACTCGTACTAATTTCTTTACCCTTTATATTTTGATATGAATTATAGGCCTAACAATAGGCCTACAATAGACATAAAGAAACAGCGAAACTACAAAGACCTACGTGGATATTGCATTTCTTTTGAGAAATGTAACTGAAAAAAATCCTGGTTTATTACAGAAGACGTTTTCATATATCGTACAGATACAATTTTTGATGAACATTATGCCTTTAGGCTCAAAACGCGATTGCTTGTCTTTGAGCTATGAAGTTAGAAAGCAAATTGTATATCTCCATGTTTATAATAAGCAAATTTTACGTAATTGGTTCATATCATAAATTAATGTTTATTGCCAACAATTTTTAGATAATTCTATTATTTATAATATACATACTTTAATGTTTGTTAGCTACACTAGAAAAAAGGAACCACTAAAACTTGACCAGATTTCTGGAATAATGAGCAACTAGAACGTGCCTACAGAATCATGATCAAAATTACTTTGATTCCCTAGTAAAAGCATTTACGGGTATCTTTAGTGGTGAAGCATAATTAACCATTATTTAAAACATCACCTTACATCACCTGTGACAGGTGTTCGTGATGTCTACAACTGAATGTATACTCCTTTGTTTTTTCCCCCATCAAATTCGTCTTGATGGGGTGGGGTGGGGGCGCTATACACCTGCGAGTTATGATATTAATGAACATGTAGCAATCGAAATTTGCATACAGCATTATCAGTTGGGTATACGCGGTGCATGTTATTGGTCAGTGAGTGCGCACAATGTGGCTACAGTGCTATATTCTAGCCAATCACATGAAACACAACTCTGGATTTTTAATTTCACAGGATGAATGAAGCTCGGTTTCATCCTACCGGCGACAGTCGCGGGCAGTTGTCGGGAAGGTTGAACCTGGCTCAACTTTGCATATTGCGTTAAACACAAATCAGAGTGCATTGCTAGCTGCCCTGATGCAATCGGGAAGGCACCCTGATCGGCAAACGCAATCAGCACCAGGCTCAACCTCCCCGACTACTGTCGGCGACTGTGCCGATAGGGTGAGCGATTCTATGGAAACCGAGCTTAATGCGGGCGCGGCTCTCAGGAGCAGGCGTAATAAAGGAGGCTCCGGTTGGGCAAACCCCTTCTCGAGTCTGCTCCTCTGATCTGATAAATCAAACTTCGTCCTTGCATCAAAGACCACCTATGTATATTTAAATGCTAGATTCTTAATTCAGCTTCCCCTCAAGAGTTTTTCTTCTGCACCCCACCCGGGTGCATATATGTTCCCCCTGGAACTTTTGGCTGTAATGGGAAATCCCCTTGAGGAATCCATTGTTCCAAACTTGATGATTGTTTATTTCTCTTCTGGAGTGCTCACCTGTCGTGGTAACCGTTTTAATTGATCTTCTGAGTTTACAGTTCACGAGTTACAATTATTTAATTGCAATACATCGTCCAATACCCAGCAAAGGATCCATCCACCGTGATATTCTTCATACACACCGGTGAACATTTACAAGAATGGGACAAATTTATCAGCGATAGTTGCTAAGTATTGACAACCTTTGAAAACAAATGATACGGCTGTCTGGTATCTTAGTTATTATACCAGCAGTAGGCCTATTAAATGAGGGTATCTGGAATTGCTATATTACATAGAAAAAGCAGAAAAGCGAATAAATCAACTGATAGGCCTATTGCGTCTGTAAAACGTAAGGACGACGAAACACTGATTTGGTAAGTTATTTTTAAAAAACTTGTTTATGTATTAACATGATAACAGTTATTTCATATACTTTAAATATTAAGCGCATGTTGAAGGCCTAATACCTCAACCTAAGGCGACCGTTTTTAGAGGGGAACAATGGCCTCTTGTACTAATTATGATGATTTCAAATTTTAAAGAAGTGTTTATTTTAAAGTTACTGCCACATCAAAATATAAAGAACATCAAATATAACTTGGAATTGTGATATGCCTATCGTTATTATCATCTTCGTCGTCGTGCATTGTCATCATCGTTATCTTTTTTTTTTTATTGTAAATTCGACACATCAGCAATAAAATACAATAAAAATTATAAGAAAATACAATGATGTACAAAAAAGACAGGCTACGGCCTTTATAGAGAGGATAATTGGCAATAAGCCCGACACCTACAGTAAATAAATTCTGTCAGAACTAAAAAACATTAAAATACATGTTTAGAATAAAAAAAGATGTTTTGTAGGCCTATATTATGTATCTATATTTGATAATAATCGTGTTATGAAATAAGCTACCGGTACAGAATGAAATAACATAAGATAAAATAAATAATATATTTGATTGTTATTTGCCACTGGGATAAGAATATATCGCCTTTGTTAGATTTAGAATGAGTGTATGAAAATCTGTTCTATTTTCTCTATGGTGTGACTACATATGATATCACCATCATCACCAATCATCGTCACCATCATCACCATCATCGTCATTATCATCATCACCACCACCATTATCATCCGCATCATCGTCGTCATCATCATCATCATCATCATCATCATAATCATCAATATCATTATTTAGACTGAGGGTGTATGTGGCAACTTGTTTAAAGTCCTCTTTTCCATTGTCGTTGTTTACGGTTATCCGGGTGCTCCTGTATTACACAGAAACAAGTTAATGAATCAACCATTAACTTCATGCTGATATTCAATGTTTCCATTCAGTGCGCGTCAGTAGTTTTCGTCATGGTTTCTCATTTTCATCTCCATGGTTACAATGACTGTTACAAATGTGACCCAATTTTTACCAGTCCTGCACTATAAAAAAATTCTCGATCAGTCTCCTCATCTTTTTCAAATACAGTAAAATAGATAAACTGAAAGATAAAGCATGCTACATACCTGTAATTAGGATATTTACACACTGAGTGAACTAAAAATAGGCCTAATTGTTTCTTTCTTTGTGTAAAATTGCAGACACTTGTTTTTCCATCATCTGGTAACTGTTTTGACCTTGGCTTGTGTTTCAACCAAAACCTCTCGGATTTCACTATGACTCAAATACCCAATTACACCAAAATAACGTACAAAACGAAACCTAGGCCTCTAGTGTTTACGACCAAAGAGATAGAAACCGCCCAGTTTGATCCTGAAAGGCGTCGAAAACGGCTTTTTTCGCTCGTTCAGATGTTCAATGGCGAAGCTAAAAGGCAGGGTAGAATGGCACAGGACACGTTCTCAACATGGGGCAATGTTCGTGACAATTTATCCATCCCATTTTCATCTAGACGACATTCTGAGGGATACGCAATGATTAGTCGACGTGACTACATACTCTCGGATGGCAACGGAGCAAGCGGTTTCGGAGGGGAGAAACGATTCTCTCAACCAAGGGAACATAGCGAAACCTTTGCCAACCGCCGCACCTCAGTTGTCGGTGGGCTTCTTGGGACTGCTGCTTTCAAACGGCAAGTGTTAAGAAAACCAGTTAACCTAAAAAGACGGGTACGTATACGGACGGAATGATTTTCAAATCCTACTTTAGTGTAACGATATATATATCTATCACAATAAAATAATTGTAATTTAAGCAATAATAACTTCACTATTATATTTAAGCACTTTATCATAATTACATCTAAAGTTACGGTATTTTATTTGTTTACAATGTGAAAATGAATTAAATATTAGATACGTAATATAGAAATGGTATAAGAATATCGTCTTTTCATTGATCATATATATATCTGTCTC